GAAGAAGAAGAAGAAGAAGAAGAAGAAGAAGAAGAAGAAGAAGAAGAAGAAGAAGAAGAAGAAGAAGAAGAAGAAGAAGAAGAAGAAGAAGAAGAAGAAGAAGAAGATTGGAAAATAAAGATGAAGAGAAGAGGAGAAGAGAAAAACAGAAGAAGAATGAGGAAGAACAATGGTGGGAGGAGTCGATTTTCGGAGCTAGGGTTCCTCCCCCATCGAGCACCCTCCTCTCCTCGTCTACGGTGAAAAAGATGAAGAAAAACTCAGTTTGGGGGTCTTGGGTTCGATCTATTAAGCTTTCCATTCGAAAATCCACAGAAATCGCGCCTGTTACAAAACAGACCTTAGTGCCGCTAAGGGGTTAGCGGCGCTAAGCCTTCTTAGCTGTTAGCCTCTGTCCCGCTAAGCTTCCAAAACGCCGCTATCCACACAGGCTTTAGCGGCGCTAAGGCCTTAGCGGCTCTAAGGCCTTAGCGGCGCTAAGGCCCCCGGCAGCTTTGCGCGTCGACTTTGTTTTTGCTCGTACGGGCTCGTTCGGACTCGGAATTGAGTTTCGTTTTTTTCTTACGCGTCGCTAACGAGCCCCTCTTTCTAATGGTGTCAGCCTCCCCAAAAGATTCTCGAAAACCTGTTCTCCCAGGGTCTCCAAACTACACACCAAAAACGAAAAGAGAACAGAAAAAGACCGGAAAACAAACGGAAAACACCGCAACACTCAAAGGAACGCAAAACACATAATAAATGACAAAAATATCCTAAAACCACCTAAACGACTCAATACGGGGGAAAAAGAACGGCAAAAAGACAACGAAAAACACAACAAAAATGGGACAAACAACTTCAATACCGACTTTCTGACAGAACTCCATACTCCTGAGTTCTTGAATACTATCAAGTGTTCTGGAACACCGAATCATGAGCTGAATTTGAAGGTAGGAACTCCAGTGATGTTGCGAAACATGGATCACTCAATCGGACTTTGCAATGGTACACGATTGGTTGTGACTAAACTCCTCAATCATGTTCTCGAGTGTAAAATTCTTATTGGCGATCATGCAGGTGATAAAGTTTTGATACCTCGAATGACCATTACTCCTTCTGATATTAGAGTTCCATTCAAATTCCAAAGAAGGCAGTTCCCCATTATGGTTTCTTACGCAATGACTATAAACAAGAGTCAAGGTCAATCCTTATCGCATGTTGGCTTATTCTTGAAGAAGCCAGTTTTTAGTCATGACCAATTATATGCCGCTGCCTCCCGTGTTACTAATAGAAAGGGTCTGAAAAATTTAATTTGTGGAGAAGAAGGTTTGAAAGAAAATTAAACCAATAATTGTATGTACACATAAGTGTTTAATAATATATTATTTTTTTTATACTTTGTATTTCTTTTTTTTCCTATTATAATCAAATTATTAATTATTAAGGAAAAGTGTTTAAAATTAAGTTTAGAAAAAAGAGTTCGAGGAAATGACCCACCGTGCAGCGCACGGGTACTACACTAGTTAAACTCAAGTGAGGTTCTATTCCAAAACCAATTGGTGGAAAGAAGAGGGTCCACAAGGCTTATAAGCTATGCCTATTTTTTCATGTATAAATGTTTCAACTCACAAGTGATATTATATTGTAATACGTCCTCTCACTTGTAAGTCCTTCATACGAGTGCAGTCTCACGCACTTAAAGACTGTATTAAACTTGTATTTGACAATATTTCATAATTATTAATAATATTGTATTAAATATTAATAAAAGTTGTATATAAAATATCGTAATAAAATCCAAAATAACTTTAAATTTTCATTATCACACCCATGTACTTTTGAACTTTTCACAACAAACCCGAAAGCTCACTCTACAAGCACCCGCCGGCCCCGAACACAGCTGCACTAACGGACCGATCTTTCTGCAGGGTTGTTAACGCACTGAACGGTTTGAATAAAAGCTCGTTTGAGTTTGTTTGTTTGTTAATCGAGCTAAGTACAAATAGCAAATTAAGCTCATTTAATAGTCGAACAAAACATGAGCTCATGAATGTTCAATAATATTTGTGATCATTAATTTTAATACAAACTTATTTTAGTTGTATATTTATCAAGGTTTTAAATAGCGGGCTAAAACGTTTATTGCACTGTAGCTATAGCGGAGCTATAGCGGAGATTTAGCGGGATTTAGCGGCTAAATTGCACATGAATACAAATAGCGGCACGCTGCCAAAAAAAGCTATTTCTCAAATAGCGGCAACTTTAGCGAGCTATTTATTTCCTTGATATTTATATATGTATGTCATTTTTTTTTAATATAAAAAATCCAAATATATATTTTTAAAATAAAAATCAAGTTATAGACCTCAAGTTAATCAAACAATTTTAAAAAACATACTTACTAAATTATTCAAAAAAACACGAATTCTGACAGAATTAAACGAACGAGCTCAAACACAATCTTTTGTTGGGAAAAGAGGTCGGATAAGATGGAATAATAATAACACACCAAAGTGAAACCGATAAAAAGACACGAAAGTTTGTTAACCCAGTTCGGATTAAATCCTACGTCTGGGGGCGAACCAAGCCAGGAGAATGAACTAGAAGAAGAGGATAAACCGAATGTTACAACTCACACAAGCCCGTATGAATACACTCTTTCTACTCTTTTCTCTCTCTCTCTGTTATGTTTTTCTTGGTTGTGGTATTTCAGCACTTGGAATTGGTGCTATTTATAGACGAATTAAAGCCCCATTTTTCAACAAATGGCAGCTCATTTTTCAACAAAAACAAAGCATAGGAAAGTGAGGTGTAGGTTTCCAAGTTGCTGCCTCTTTCCATTGTCAAAAAATATTGGCTTTCCAAATTGGTGGCTAACATCTTTTTGCTCGAAAAATCAACGAACAATATTCAAACATAACCGAACACCCTCGAAATGGCCAAGCTCGACTAGTACGCTTCGATTGCGGCCACCAGCCACCCAAATTGTTATCACATTCTATTCACGGATCATTATCTTCGAACCCAACTAGACTGCTGAAAATACCACT